GAGTTCATATGCTTTCCTCATAAGGAAACCACCAAAGATCCGATTGAAAATATTCCTCTCCTATAGGGCATAAAATGAATGATAGGAAATACAAGATCATGGCCACCCTCATATACAGAACAAAGGAATTAATAATGCCAAAGAACAGAGACCAGTTTAAAGATATCATATCTTAGATCAGTGGTTCTCAACCTTCCTAATGCCGCAACCCTTTAATACAGTTCCTCATGTTGTGGTGACCCCCAACCATAAAATTATTTTCGTTGCTACTTCATAACTGTAATTTTGCTACTGTTATGAATTGTAATGTAAATATCTGATATGCAGGATGTATTTTCATTTTACAAATTGAACATAATTAAAGCATAGTGATTAATCACAAAAACAATATGTAATTATATATGTGTTTTCCGATGGTCTTAGACAACACCTATGAAAGGGTCGTTCGACCCCCAAAGGGGTCGCGACCCACAGGTTGAGAACCGCTGTCTTAGATGAATATCATGGATGCAAGTTATCCTATTTAGGTTTTTCACCATATCACAATACCTGAGGGTGGCAAATTTCCAAGCTCTTCAGTTTTGATTTCTCCATCCATACTGCATTAGGGGGCAAAACTCGACTTTGAAAACTTATAGTCCTGTGCAAACAGAGAATCAATAAACCCTGTTAGAGCCCTGGTTTAGCTGCTAAAAAGTAAAATATTTGCAAAAAATTTCCAATATGTTCAGGCAAGCCTGGCTATGGAGAACACCAAGTATTAATGCATCCTAATGTGGAATCTCACCAGCCTAACTTACTTTTTGTTTTAAAATATTCTTTATTTCAAAGAGAAAGGAAGAGGGAAAGAGAGATAGAAACATCACTGATGAGAATCATTGATCAGCTGCCTCCTGCACCACCCCCCAACTGGGGATTGAGCCCACAACCCAGACAGGTGCCCGGACCAGGAATCGAACTGTGACCTCCTGGTTCATAGGTCAATGCTCAACCACTGAGCCACGTCAGCCGGGCCAGCCTAACTTACTTCTGATCCAGTGTGTTAAGAAACATCTCATGGATGGTCGTCCTCTCCTCAGCACTGGGAGCCATTTTCAGTAACGACATGGAGCTGAAGGCGACCCTTCTCCCCTTGTTCACTGAAATATGGGACAATAAGGAACCATGGTCAGGAGGGTCACACTGCACACTGGGGTTTCTGAACTAGGCTGTACTTCTAGACTGTAACAATCCCCCTGGAAATTGTCCAAACAGCTCACAAAAACTTTCTGTGATTCTTTGCTTTTACAAGAAAATTGTATCAGCTCAGTGTAAAACCAGCTATAATCATCCTGACCTAGAGCCCCAACCAAGTTATTTCATTAAAGATACATTTACCATTTCATGAACAATGAGAAAAAATTACTTCAATTAATAAATATTGGCTGATTGATAAAATTGTTCATGAACTTCATGGAACAAAAAATAAGGTATTTTTAATTTCAATAAATTCTTGGAATGAGTAAGACACCTGACTAATATGAGGAGTCCATGCATACTCTTAAAAATAATCTCTTCTGCAGTACAGTTAATGTGCTTTTAAAAGTTTATCTTAGTATAAAAAATTAATATACATTCTCCTTGTCTAAAGAGCGCTTCTTCCTTAGGGCCTTCAGGGATGAGTGGATTTACAAATGCCGACCTAAAGAGAAGAAAAGAGTATAAATTAAAATGTTATTATCTTCCCTAGGCAGTTTGGCTCAGTGAATAGAATGTTGGCCTGTGACTGAAGGGTCCCGGGTTCGTTTCCAGTCAAGGGCACATGCCCGGGTTGCCGGCTCGATCCCCAGTTGGGGGCATGCAGGAGGCAGCTAATCAATGATATTCTCTCATCACTGATATTTCTATCTCTCCCTCTCCCTTCCTCTCTGAAATAATAAAAATATATTTTAAAATATTCTTTAAAAAACAAGCAAACAGCAAAGACTTGAAAACTGGTGGGTAATAGTTAATCTTCCATTCTTATTAGATAATAACATTTTTTAAAAATATATTTGATCGGCCTTCTACATGCCCCCCACTGAGGACGGAGCCTGCAACCCGGGCATGTGGCCTGACCAGGAATCGAACTGTGACCTCCTGGTTCGTAGGTCGTAGGTCAACACTCAAGCACTGAGCCACACCAGCAGGACTTTGCTGTTCACTTTGAATAACGCTTACTGACTGCTTCACACAAGGACTCTGGAACAATAGAGGAGGCTTCTGGTTACTAGGAAGTACACATTATCAAAAGGACACGACTGCTTGCCAATATGTTTCACCTGATCCTAATCACAAGGAAGCAGTCAAAATTGGTTGCAGAACATCCTACTAGACATCTGGACTCGACTCTTCAAAAATGTCAAGACTGAAAATGACAGGGTGACTAATTTAAAGAACCATGGTAACCAACTGCAATACATGATCCTTGATTAGATCTGCCTTAGGGGAAGAAACCATAAAGGATATTTTAGGGACAATTGGCAAAGTTTGCATATGGATCATATATTGCATAATATAATTATATCACTGTTCAATTTCTTGGGTATAATAAAAGCATTGAGGTTATGTAGGAGAATTACCTTATTCTTAGGAGATATATGCTAAACTATTTATGGGTGAAACAGTCTCAAACTTTCGAATGATTCAGGGGGGAATGTGTATATATATTTATAGAGGATGGGAAAATAGGTTTGTGGCAAAACAGTAATTGACGAATTTAAGTAGAGGGTATATATAAGTGTTCATTGCATTATTCTATTTTTCTGTAGGTGTCAAATTTTTTAAAATAGAAAACTGAGCAAAAAGGAACATAGTATTTCACTGTGGTAGAATCCAAAAGTTTGATGAAACAACAATGGAAACAAAAGACCTGAAATGGCAGTTTGGGAAACTGAAATACAACAGCTGGGAGAGGAATTTTAAGTAATGACCCCCAGTGCTGGCAAAGGAGCCCAGGCCAGGCACCAGAGCAGCAAGCAGGTCAGCTGGGGACGGTGGGAGGACTGAAGCTAGATGGGTGCATTCTTCGCTCAGACCAGTCGCCAAGGTATTTTTCAATCTTAACACATTTTCCATGTCAGCTTTTCACGCAGCAGAAATGACGTCTCATTGCAAACTCCTCACTCAAGTTTCTAATACAAATTAGACTCCCAAAGGCCTCTAGACTAGCGGTTCTCAACCTGTGGGTCGCGACCCCTTTGGGGGTCGAAAGACCCTTTCACAGGGGTCGCCTAAGACCATCGGAAAACACATATATAATTACATATTGTTTTTGTGATTAATCACTATGCTTTAATTATGTTCAATTTTTAACAACGAAAATACATCCTGCATATCAGATTCATAACAGTAGCAAAATTAGTTATGAAGTAGCAACGAAAATAATTTTATGGTTGGGGGTCACCACAACATGAGGAACTGTATTAAAGGGTCGTAGCATTAGGAAGGTTGAGAACCACTGCTCTAGACAGTCCTGTACAAACAGCAAAAATCCTGTAACACTCTCTCCCACCCTACTCCCCCCACACAATTAGATGGTTTTTCTCAGTTTGAAGGCCTTGGGTGGAACTGTTGTTAGGAACCAATAAATCAATTTAAGAAAAAAAAGATAAAGTAGAAAGCCAAATGAGTTAAAGCTTGTACAATTAAACTTGAAAATGACACTATAAACTCATGAGGTTGTTTATTTATTTGCTTTATAATATACACCCAAGCTCTGTCCACTAAAAAGGCCTAGACATGATGATAAACTAGTAACAAAACAGTTCAAGTGCCTAGATTTTGGTCTCTAAATATCAGTTCCCACTAAAAGAAACCCCAGGACTCCTTGGGGAAATGGCTGTTTCTAGGCCTGGGGCAGGAAATGTGTAAGATGAGCCCAAGATAACTCCTTGCACCAGAGAGCAGGCAGGTATCAAAAACCAATGGGGAAATGTCAAAAGGGCTTATCACAGGAGGCAGCTTAAAGGGGCTCCCACTGACCAAAGAGAGTATACTCTGAGCAGCAAGAGCACTGGCTACAATTCGTGGAAATACATTTATATGTTAAAATCCATGCATTCACAATGATCCTTTTTTTTAAAGCCAAAAAAGTAGAAAACCATGTTGTCACTAGCTAATTAACCAACTCATTCTTTTGCAAATGTGTAAGTAGAAGACAGGAATGAAACATTCATCTTGACTTCCCTTTACAAACCAAATGGCCCTAGTTGATAAGGGACAGCTCTTCTTCACAGAACTCCAGCTAATAAATGTTGAAAGAATGATAGAATTTGAGAATCCTTTTACACTCCCACATGATTAAAGCAATGATCAACAAAGGGCATTAAGAGCCGTGGAAAAAGACTGATGGGGAGCTAGCTATGTGCAGGATGACAAAGTATACACTGGATACACCCTGCCCTGTATATCATTGCTGATCATAAGCGGATAAACTGAACTTGACAGTGGCAAGATCAGGTTGTCACTACTTGAGCCCACGCATCAATCTTAGCTTCGCTAGGAGGGAGACCATCTATATCTCCTTATATGACCCAATACAAGACACGAGATACACAGCATCACCCATGAAGTGCTCTCACCCAATAAACTGAACCTGAATCTAATCAAGGCTCTAGCTCTAACTTCAGTTTATAGAAAATACTAGAAATAAAGAAACAAGTCCATGCTTCCTCATGGTATTTTTTTACTTGAAAATACAGAAAGTTGGACATTGTCTAGAACAGGGGTGGGGAACCTTTTTTCTCCCAAGGGCCATTTGGATATTTATGACATCATTCGCAGGCCATACAAAATTATCAGTTTAAAAATGAGCCTGCTGTATTTGGTCAAACATTTAATTAACTCACCCCTACTGCCTTGGCAGGGCCAGGCCAAATAATTTCTCAAGCCTTATACGGCCCACGGGCTGGATGTTTCCCACCCCTGGTCTAGAAGAACCCATTGGGCCTTTCAATGCGTTGATAAAACAATAAGGAGGCATGCAATGATGTTAACATTTTGCGTCAACAGCAGCTCACCTAGTGAGTGTTGATACTTTGGGTCTGAGTGGGGGGAAAAAGAGGGGAACAGTGGAGACACACAACTATTCTGGATTTAAACAACCTCTAGAGACCGCACAACTGTGAATACACCAAAATCCATAAAATTGTACACTTTCAATGGGTGAATTCTTTTTTTTTTTATAGGTTAGAGTCAAACCAGGGTCTGACTTTTTGTTTCTTTTTTTAAAAATATATTTTATTGATTTTTTTACAGAGAGGAAGGGAGAGGGATAGAAAGTCAGAAACATCGATTGGCTGCCTCCTGCACACCCCCCACTGGGGATGTGCCCGAAACCAAGGTACATGCCCTTGACCGGAATCAAACCTGGGACCTTTCAGTCCGCAGGCCGATGCTCTATCCACTAAGCCAAACCAGTCAGGGCTCAATGGGTGAATTCTATATGTGAATTATATCTCACTGAAGCTGTTAACCAACAAAACAGGCTTATGAGACATAAAAATCAAATATAATATGTGGACTTTGTTTGTATCCTAATTTGAACAAATCATTAAAACGATATTTGGGGAAAACGGAATATGAATTATTGGAATATACTAAGGACTGACTAGTATTTTTGTTAGGTGTGCTAATGGTAGTGTAGTTATTTAAGAAAATATTCTCATTTAAAAAAAATATTTTAATACATTTTTTTATTTCAGAGAGGAAGGGAGAGAGAGAGAGAAAAACATCAATGATGAGAGAGAATCATTGATCAGCTGCCTCCTGCACACCCCCTACTGGGGATCGAGCCCACAACCAGGCATGTGCCCTGATCAGGAATTGAACCCTGAGCTCCTGGTTCATGGCTCGATCCTCAACCACCAAGCCACATCGGCCAGGCAAAAATATCCTCATTTTTTAAGAGATGCCTAAACTAAAGTTTTTAGAGGTGAAATGTCATTATGTCTGGGATTTGCTTTAAAATATTATAAAGAAAATAATATACTTTAAAAAACAGATGAAGCAAATATGGCAAAAATATTAAAACTCTTGTGTGTAGGTGATGGGCATATAGACATTCATTACGCTCTTCTCTCTGGTGTTATGTATCTTCAAAATTTTCAAAATAAAGAATTAGAAAAAAAGAACAATTACCCCTTATTTTCAGAATCACGGGCCACCATTACAAATGTTGCTTCCAAAACAGGACAAAATTCACTGTCTTGTAACTAAAGAACAAAGGAAAGAAAATGCAGATGTAAAAAATGCATTTCCTGGGAAGACCTGCTACAATTCTAACAGAGAGCGTGCATGCTTTGAGAAAGGCAGCAATTAGAAAAAGAGGAGAAAGTGTGGTACATTTATACAATGGCATACTATGCAGCTGTAAAAAAAAGAAGGTTCTCTTAACCTTTGAGACAGCATGAATGGACCTGGAAATTATTATACTGAGTGAAATAAGCCAGTCAGAGAAAGACAGGTTATCACAGGATCTCACTTATATGTGGAATCTAATGAACAAAATAAATTGACAAACAAAATAGATCCTGAGACATGGAAGCATGCAAGAGACTGACAGACCTCAGAGGGGATACGGGGTGGGGCGGGGAGAAGAGATTAACCAAAGAACTTATATACATATATGCATAGCCCATGGACACAGACAACAGTGCGGTGAAGGCCTGGGGTGGGGCAGGAGTCCGGAGGAGGGAGGCAAAGGGGGGGAAAATGGGGGACATCTGTAATACCCTCAACAATTTTTTTTAAAAGAAACAAAAAGAGAAGTGCATTCATGAACCACCAGCTGCTGAGTTTCCAGGCACAGAACTAGGCTCTGTGTGGGGACAGCAGCGTGACCAGGAACCTGTGGTCTAGCAGGAGAAAGACACCCCAAAATTCCAAACAGTGCATTGCGGGACATGCTAGGATGGACATGAGCTAGAGGCTGCGGAGCTGAGCCTGACTGGGACCCAACAACAGGGGTCATAGAAGGACCTACTACATCATCATTTCACTGTCCTGCTTCAGACAGAAGTCTGGCTTTCTCCAGGCCTACCTGTCCTCCACATGGCACACAGAGCCAGGTGGACCTCCCGCCACTCTCATAGACATTAGCATTTTCAGGAACCTTAGTGTGCCAACTACCAACACGTTTAGGATTCCTTCGCTGAGCACAGGGGCTCCCAAGAAGGAATAAGATCAGTGACAAATCTGTGGATTAAGCTAAATACTTACACTGCACAAAAGCCTTTGAAGTTTTAAAGTGTTTCTTTATCCCTTAGAAGTCTGTACTTCCAGGACAATCATATCATAAAGTCCTATCATAACCTGAGGGTCCATTCAGTTCCTTCCTCATCACTAGTCCTCGTCACTAACACCTGTTTGGGCCCTAGTACCTCCCCCCTTGACTTTTTTCTAGCACCTGCTCAAAGCCTGTTGGCCCTGTATATACAGCCCTCCACCAGAGCCCAAATTCCTCTCCAGCTGTTCCCAAACACTTCCTCATACCCGCACCTTTTTCCCCAGCCACGGCTAACCACTTGGAGGCCCTGGAATGGACCATGCTGTTGAATACCTCTGTTCCATGCCTTCACCTGATGCCTTCCTCATGGCTACATTCATCACAACCACTCCCCCCGCCCCCGCGGCCCAGTCAGTAAACACGCATCCCTTCGCCCCAGACACAACTCATCATTCCCTCCTTTGTTTGTCAGCTAAATGCAAAGTCCTCTCCTGACAGTGGTTCTCACCCCCGTAGAGTTATTTGGAAATGTGTAGGGTTGTCACATGACTTAGGAGACATTACTAATGGGATGGGGGTGAGCAAGGAGCTGAACACTTCACAATGCAGGGGGAAAGTCCTGCAGAACAGAGAATTTTCCCACATATAATGCCAATAGTGTCCCTGTTGAGAAATGCTGCATCATACTTAATAGACTATACCATGATCATTTATTTAAGTGGTTGCCTCCCCACTGCATCATGAGTTTCTTGAGGACAAAGGCCATTTTCATTGACATTTGTACCCTAAGCACTTAGCACAAAGACTGCCTATAGCAGATACCTGATCAATGACAGCCAATGTATGAATCAACGTAAGTAATTATTGAGGACTACCAAAATGATAACTCCAAGAAAATGGAACTGGGTTTTGCTCACGGCTGTATACCTAACACAGAATGGCAGGCAATAAATGATTGCTAAGTGAACTGTTAAATGAGTGGACGTCAGGAAGTGGGCTTGGTGACTCACACCCAGATCCTGTTGTTGAGAAGCATGTGACCTAGTAGAAGAGAAAACATGTTCCTACGAAGCTCTGAGGAGCAGAGATCAGCAGGTCAGAGAAAGGGTTCTGAGGAAGGAACAGGTATTATGAGCTGGAGGACCAGGGAAGGATTCGAGCATGGAGTGACCTGGAAGCACAAGTGGAATGTGGATGTGCAGAGCCAGAACACAAGGATTTCAGGAAAAGGAAAAAGCATAAGCAACGACACTCAGCCACTTGCTTACTGTTTAAACTATGGTTTATTATAATGAACACCTACTAGCGCCAAGTATCGGGAATGCCAAAATGAACAACTCCCTACTCTTAGGATGCTCAAAGTGTCTGGCAGTGAGTTCTAAGAAGGTATTTAAATGATGTTGGAGCTAGTTTCTGGAGACCCTTGGATCCTAACTAGTCAAAGGAGTTTAGATTTTAATGAGCAGATAATGGTCAAGGTTTGTTTGTTTGTTTGTTTGAAAATATATATTTTATTGATTTTTTACAGAGAGGAAGGGAGCGGGATAGATAGAAACATCGATGAGAGAGAAACATCAATCAGCTGCCTCCTACAAGGAGAGTGATGTGATTTAAGATCAGCTTTGGAAGGTCTATCTGATAAAAATGTATAAAATGAACAGAGAGCCCTGACTGGTTTGGCTCAGTGGATAGAGCGTCGGCCTGGGGACTAAAGGGTCCCGGGCTCGATTCCAGTCAAGGGCATGTACCTTTGGTTGCGGGCACATCCCCAATCGGGGGTGTGCAGGAGGCAGCTGATCAATGTTTCTCTCTCATCGATGTTTCTAACTCTCTATCCCCTTCCCTTCCTCTCTGTAAAAAATCAATAAAACATATTTTAAAATAAATAAATAAATAAATAAATAAATAAATAAAATGAACAGAGGGTGAAAATGAACAGAGGGTGAAAACACGCAACAGGCAGGCAGACTAATTGAAAGACAGTTCAGGTACTCACACAGAGGCAGTGGGGGCTTGAACAGGACACAGGGCCAAGGGCAAGGGGGAGAAAGGACCGTGGTGAGTTACAGAGGGTGATGAATTTGTAAAACTTGGCAAAAGGCTGCACAGGAAAGGGAAAAATTTAAGCTATCACAAAGGTATTCAGCTGGGAAACCAGGAGGATGACAAACAGAAAACACTGAAGGAAGATCAGGATTAGAAGGGAAGCTGACACTCAATTTAAAACGCACTGGACTGGAGGTAGCAAGAGCCCGTGTAGGGGGAGATATAATAGGTACTTGGAAAGTTAGTTCTGAAGGTCAAGACCAGAACAGAGATTTGGGATCATCTCCATAGTAACAATAAATTAGCATTATTGTCAACATGGGATTAGTAGTTACTGTGTGACAGGCAACGTAACAAGTTCTTCATATGAGTGGGCTGTTTTCCATTTCATCTGTACCACACCATATAATATGGTACTGTTACCGCTTCCATGTTGCACTTGAGAAAACAGAGGCTCAGAGAAGGTGATTTACCCACAGTCACGTGGCTAATAAGCAGCAGAGCTGGGATTTGAACCTACATGCACCCAAACCAGAGGCACCTATCGCCACGCTCCTCTCTGGAATGGAAAGGACCACTCAAGTAATGAGTTATTAGGCAAAATTGCCAATGAGAAATGAAAATTTAAAAAAAAAGTTCGTATTTGCCTAACACTGATTTTCATTGGTTCTCTCCTCCCAATAATCCCTGTATCTCTTTTTCAACCGACTTGTCCAAGATTCAAATTGTCAAGATCCCCTAGAAAGCTGGTTCTATGCCAGCAACCTGCTGCACGTGGC